TGGTATAACTTTGATTTTTCCTGCCTTCTGCTCTAAATGGAAGGCAATCCCCACTTTTTCCACAGAACCCACATGCCTTCTTTTTTTGATCACAGCTGTGAAATTGGTACAGTCAAGTCAGTAGGTGTTAATGTGTTCTGGAGGAATGGTGTAGTTCTGTATAGCTCACTAGTCCAAAGCTCATGAGTTTTAAACTGCTTTCTGCCATGAGTAAACTGTGAGCTGGCTGTGAGAAAGTTGAATCACATCAGGTGTTTCAGAGCTGTGGGCTGCTGGCAGCCCCTTTACTGCAACTCAGCTCCCAAGTTTCACAGGTGCCAGAAAACAGCTCCACTCTGTTCCCCATCACTACGCAGCCTGAAAGTAAGAGCTGTTTTTCAAAAAAAGGGAAAGATTATCTATGAATTGCTTTACATACTGGTTCTAGAACTAGAAAATTGGGAGAATAGATGAAGAGTACAAGTGAGACAATTGTACTTTGTATAAGTTCATCTGAGAAACCATGTTTGACAAAATAATGACACTTACAAAAGTGTGTCTTGAACAGGGCAAGCATAGTAATTATTTAAAGTGATGCTGTCAAGTATGGGTAGTTTGCGTCCATGATGAAGGCTGCCTTTAAAATCTGGATTTTCAGGTTTGCTTAAATTTTTTAAAAGAAAAGTATCCTGGGCTTAGACTCCCTAGTAAATCATAGCACTATTTGTTTTTTTGACTAAAAGAACGTATAACTGATGGTTCCAGAATTCTTCACAAATCCATGTCTAATTCACAAGGTGGTTTTGACTGTAAAAAGTCCAGGAGACTCAAGTCACAAAGCAGCTAGTTTTAGCTACTGACTTTCAGTCAGAACATGAAAGACTCAAGTTCAGTTTCTTTTTCTGCCTGAATATTTCAGCTCTCAGGTTGAAGTGTGGCTTTATGCAACCTCTGATCTTTGGGGCAGGGGTTGAAGCAAATTGTGAAAGCAAAAATTTGGCATAGCTATTTCTGCGCAGGCAGATGTCATGTTTTTAGTTCCTCCAAGCTCACATAGCTGACTCACATCTACCTGTGTGCAGAAAAGCTACAATACACCACAATCCTTGAATTTGACTTTGGTTCCTTTGGGTTTCCTGTCCTTCACTGGAAGGGAATGATCAATGAAAGGAGATGATCTTACCTCCTTTGTTGGCAATGTTCTTCTTTCTATCTGCAATTAAACATTCCTGGATATTGGGAAATTCCCATCTCCCTGGAAATCGGAGTCATGATTGGAGAACGCTGCAGCTGCTCTGGGTCTCATTTACAAAGTGAATTGAACCCTCTACAGCACATTAATCTGACCTAGCATTAGGCTGTAATCTCCTCTGCTTCAAAGCAGGGCAGATAGAGAACAGGGAAAGGGCAGGGCTAAAAGGGAGCAAAACACCATGCCAGTTGTTTGCATTTACCTGGTTATGACCATCAGATGGGATGTGACCAGGATAATCTTGAGAGTTCTGAGGAACAGCTTTGTGTGAAACTTCATCTGTGCTATTGAGAAATGATAGCATCATGGCTGAGCTGGCAATAAGTTTTCTGGAGCATCAGTGGGTACAGTACTTCGTTCCCAGCCTCTTACTTTTCTCACCTTACTGAAATCCTTTTTCACCATGAGGACAGTCAAGCGTGCAAAATGTTTCCTGGAGAGATTGTGCCATCTTCAACCCTGAAGACTTTGAAAATCTAATCCCATAGTTGATGCTGCTTTAAGCAGAACTAGAAATCTGTGATCCTGCTTCTGGTTAGGACCCCAAGTTGTTTATTTAGACATCATATAGTTTCTGCTCATTACAAACAAACAAACAAGCAAACAAAAAACACCACACACACAAAACCAAACATGAAAAAAACTTTCTGTCTAGTTAGACTTTTGGATTCCCAGCATAACCACAGTTGGATTTGCAGAGGTAGACTTAGATGACTTGCATGAACTGGTATAAAGCAGTCCTCTGGTATGTCCCCCGGTAAACAAGAAAAACCCAATTGCTGCTTGATTTTCACTTCATTATAAATGTTCTTTTAAGTTTTAATTACTGCTTTTTCTTTTTTTCTCTTTAATTCACCAAGCCTTCTTGATTTTGAAAACATGTTAAAATTAATTTTCTCTTTTGCCTGTATCTCTTACTGACTCCAGTGCAGCGACAGGGAGATTGGTTCTTTTACAGATATTTTTCCTAACTTGCATTCCTCAATGCTGAATTATTTTGTAAAATGAGCAAGCAGCTGATTTCTTCTACCTACTCTGTCCTAGCAAAACATTGAGGCATTAGTACAGGGCGATAACAGAGTGTGCAAAGCAGAACCAAATTAAAGTGTTTATGCATGTGTTTGTGTGAGGTGGCAATCAAGCAGCTACAAAGGTGGCTGTGCAATACCTCCGTTTCTTAGACCAGTTTGAGCTCTTCGCAGTGTTGGTCATGTCTCAGCTATCCTTTGGGAAAAACACTTTTATCTTAGATTGGCAAAGGGATTCTTTTCATCTGTGATTTGGATTTTTAAGGGGATTTGCAGAAAGAGATCATGACCCAGAGGCTGGTTGTTGCACACAAATCCCTACCTGCTGCATGCCACAAATAATGTCAGAAAACACAGAAGAAAACAAAAGCAAATGAGTCATCCCATCCCACATTTCTTCCTTTTTTAATTCCATGGGGGTTTATTTCCTGTAGAATGAGGGAATGGATTTAAATCAAAGAAGATTAAAATCCATTCTGGAGGGTGAGGTTGACTATTTTAATGTGAAGAAGCACTGTTTTGATCTTAAGAAGATTTGAGGGCAGGAGTGGAGGCAGTGGGCAGGTGTTCAAGGCTGTTAAATGTGTAGAGGTTGCCTTGGGGAAAAGTGAATGTTGGTCTGCAGCAAACTGATGTCCAGAAAAAATAAATACTCCCTTATGGTCCAAGAGTTCAGAACAAAGCTAATTGTTCAAACAAAACATCTAACAGGGTTACAGAATACTAAAACTTTTCAAAGGCAGGATGCAACGAAGGAGCAACTTTTCAGACTTCATGGACCAGCTCTATAATCCAGAGGCAGGATCACAGAACTGTGAAAAGTTAAACACAGAGTATTTGAGGTCCCAAAAATGTAAACTCAGGAGTACATGATTTGTAAATGGATATTACAGGGAAAAAAAGATATTCGGGACAGTCCTTCAAAGACTCTGGAGTCTGCTACATACAGATCCTTCTGCCAGTCCAGCAGTGTTGAAGTCACCCAACTGTTTTCAAGTGGTCCCCAGAGACTACCAGAAAGTGCCCCTGGGCACTATCAACCCAAGCACTGACTTGTGCTCCTTTATTTCACTTTTCCTTCACATCCCCAGCTCCTTGCACTATTGTTAGATGATGGTTGACTTTCATGAGGTCTGTTTCATGTAATCAAGTTACGAAGCCAGCAGTAAATCCTAAGTCCTATTTTTCACAAGGTCAGCCAAAATAAGCAGAGTGCATTTAACACTGCAAGTACAAAAACCATAGTTACTTTCCTCACCACCGAGGCCTTTCCAGTGAGCAAAGTGTGTTAGATTTAACCCCCAAATTTATCTCTCCATGTTACTGGAATTTGCCATTATAAAGCACCCTCTCCAGAACAGACAACCAGGAACACTTTGTTGGAGGTCTCATTTTTTCCAATTCACTGCTTTTAAGCATGAAATAAATTAAATTCACAGAAGAAGGTACTTCCTGGCTCTAGTTTCCAGTGCAGTTCTCTCCAGAGGGATGTAGAAGAGCAATGGCTCTCTGTGGCTTTTTCACCATTGCTGCAGGCATGATACTGTCAGAGCTGTTCTGACAGCTTTGTCATAGTGTGGTCAGGGGAGGAGATGGAACTTGCTTTCCTTTATATTTTAGTGGACCCTGGAGACTTGGCAGGAAGAAGCCTTGTTTCTATCATCGGGCTGAGTCAATATGACTTCAGGCGCCCAGGGAACAGATACAGAAGATAGAAAATAGCTACTTCTAGTTCTTTTTCTGTTTGTTCTCATTTTTATCCCTATGAGTTCCAAGTCAGGGTATGTCTCCTCAATCAGATGGCTTTGCTGGATTGTTTACTGAGTGATAAGGAAATAACGATCCTTACTCTCCTTCTCCCAGTGCTCATGCTGACCAAGCAGAAGCTCTGTTGAAGACAGTTCTTCAGATCCCAGTGCCCTCAGATTTTGACTTAAGTGCCATCCCTGGAAAGGACAAAGCTGTCAGGCCCTGAGCTTCCTCCATACCTCTGCTGAAGAGAAGTTAAAGGTTTTTTATTCCCTGGAGCCTTGTATTACCCTTCCACTCACCTCACAAATGCAGCTGTTAGAAGCCTCAAAAACATGTTGAAAGCAGAGAATATTTTCTGCCTTGCTTTCCCTCTGCTCACAGCTTTTCCTTTTTCAGCACTGACTGTGCCAGCATCAGTGGGGTGGAGAGGCTGTTCAGAAAGCTGAGTGTTAATGCTGTTTCTGTCTAGGTCCTGGCAAAAACCAGTTTCCTTCCAGCACAGTGTGAGAGGAAGACATTCCATACTTAGCCACTGAAAATGCATGTGTCTGTGTGTAAACACCACAGCTCCTTCATCCTCCCTGCACTTGAACTTTTGCCACTGAATGAGAACCCAGTGTCTCATTCCCAGCGCTCCTGCAGACATCCCCATTCAGAATGAATTTCTGATGTCACTTCACAGTGAAGTTGTCTTAAGGACAGATAAACCTGACACCTTTGTTTTCTATCCCCAGGGTAATTTGAGATACAGTATGACCTAAAATTTCCTGATGCTTGTGTGGAGAGAAATAATGAGGCAAAAAAAGACAACAGTTGATGGTGTTAACCTGCATGCAGTAGATTGGCAATGGAAACCTGTGTTCTTGATTCAAATTAGATTATGAATGGAAAATTAGATTCTTTGACAAGAATGCATAGCAAAAAGAAACACAGAGCAAGCTTGTATCTTTGCAAAGACTCTGAAATGTCAGCATGCCTTGAGATTATACCTCCATGTTGTCATGTCTTTTGCTTTACTTTGGAGTCTGCAGAATTTTGTTCCTTGCACATTCTGCCTGCTCCATCAGCAATCAGCCAGGATCTTCCCACCGTCATCTCCACTTCATCTCTGTCCACCCAGCAGCACAATCTGACTGAAGAGAAGGCAAGTCATTTCTTATAAAGCCCCTAATAAGGTCCCTGACCTTTAAAAAGTCATTTTTATATCTTGACCCTCTTCACTCTCCTTTTTCATCATTAAATTAAATACACTTTCACTGTGCTTAGGTCTCTGTATATACAAAAGTTTAAAGCCTGTTGTATATCTTAATTATTGAAAGATAATTCAATACACACTCCTGTGCACTCTCCTTAGTCCCTTAGCTCTACTGCAATAAAGCCTTGCTTGCTGACATCCTCAGGCTGTTTTTCTCCTCTTTTCTTCTACTCTTACAACTCTCTTGTTCCTTTCATCTTACCACAGCCTCAGTCGGGCAGCCAAACAGATAGCTGTACAACAATAAACCTTATGTTTGTATGCAGTTGGCAATTTTAGCTCTCAAATGTGCTAAGTGAAGCTGAACATGTGCTCACTGTGGTCCAACATATACCTGACCCAGGCATGCAAGGGGCACAAAAATTATGATAATTCTTGTATTGCTTTTGCATGTCTCCTTCCTTTTCTTTTAGAAATGCTTTAGAAAATCTTTAGCTAATGGTCTTTTGATAAACAAATCCAAGCTGGGATTTTTTTCCTTCCTTCAGTGCATACAGCTGGCCATTTGGGAGGGAGGTAAAAAAGTTGGTCTGCCAGAATTTCTGCCTGAGTGGTTAATTTAGGAGAGAGGGTCAGATAGCAGAGACGTGGCAGCTGCAGCATTGCCAGCAGTCTCATTTAGTGCTATGGTGTTGAGAGCAGGCAGCTGGGAGGCAGAATCAGGAACCTCCCCTGCCAGCTGTTTAAAGGAGATGGACCCATTTGCCAATCAAAAGGCATGAATTTTTGCAAGATCAGGAGTGTGGCATGACAGAAGGGTGCTCACATTCAGTCTTGCTAACGCCTGTCTCCCCTTTGCCTAAATTCCCATCTACAGCCCCAAAAAAGCAATGTTATACCTTGCTCAGGCCAGCAGTGCTTTACCACCCATCCTTTCTGCTTTGAGGCTACCTGTGGTGAGCAGGGCTGGGGTGACGATTCCATAACCTCAACCCTGAAGGGACATGCCAGCAGCTGGAAGTTTGTGGTAACAAACCTCTTGAGCACTACTGCCCCACCAAAAAAGGGTAACAAAAGCATAAAATACATCAGCATTAAAATACTAAACGACGACACAAACTCACCATGTTGGAGATCTGTGTTAAAAATTGTCATAGTCTTTCCCAGCACATTACTGCTTTCTTTGGCATAAGTCAGGCTTTCCCTGAGCCCCTTTGAGCTCTCCAAGCCACCTTGACTGAGGCTTCAGCTCAGCAGTGCGCATGTCTGATTTCCAGCTGCAGGGTTCTGCAGTAGGGGTGGCATCTGTCATCTTCCAGCTCTGCTTCCTCTTAAAGCAGCTACAGCCAGAATTTTGTCTTTCATCTTGTCTTTCAAGACTCTTTCTCAGGGATTTCAGCAGGGACATGGGTTTTCTCTGGCCAGTACTGTTTCCCTCTGCCACTTAGAAGCTGTGTTTTGCTACCAGTCCTTTTGAGAGGTGTAACGAGAAGGCAGCTGCCAAACCCTCAGCCCTGCACCTGTAACATTAAGGAACATGAAACAGTTGATTGCAGTCCTCTGCTGTCTAATCCTGACAAATAACAGCCCTGCCTAAGAAAGGAGACAGTGGATCCCTTGTGGATGAGGAAAGATGTAATAATTTATGACAGTTTTGGACTAATCCCTGATCCCAGTCCTGATTTCTCTACCAAAGCAGGGCCAACCTGGAGGAGGAAGGTGTCAGCACCCTGCCCTCTCAGCCAAGTCACCCTACAGGGAGCAGGTTGCAGCACCCACTGAACCCCATCCAGCATAAACCACAGAACAAAGCCAGAGATTAAGCCATGAGCTTTCCCTAAACTCTCTCTAAAGAAAGAGAAAGAGGAAAAGGGTTCCCACTCCTCTCTAAGGTGAGCCACCACCCCCATTCAAAATAGGAAGATGACAAGCTAGGCTATTTGAAACTGTACTTTAAGGTCTCCAGCTGCCCTAGGTAAACCCTGCCTGCCTACTTACTGTCTGGCTTCAGAAGACTTCAGAAAAGAGGAGCAGGAGCCTTTGAGCTGCCCCAGGTGTAACAACCAGGTCAATACTGAGCTGTCCCACCAAGCCCCAGTGATCTGGCAGCAGCCCCAGGTGCCACCCAAACAGCTTTTGCAGGTATCTGGAGCAGTAAAGAGAAATGTCAGGGCATGCATGACATAAGGGCTCACCAACCCTGCTCTGAGACAATAGAGTCTGCTATCCCTGTGAAACAGAATTCCCACTGACCTAATTAATGAAGGCTTAATCAGCAGATTGGTTAATCATAAACTTATTAAATAACTAATTGAGCTCTGAGGCTGTATGTCAAATTTCCAGACTGTGGCAGCCCCTCGGAGAAAGGATCAAGTCAGTAATCCTGTTAGGTGAGCAGGTTGCTGTGTGGGACAGCTCTCCAGTGGAGCAAAGTACCCAGGACTGCAGCTCATGAATTGAATAGCAGGAAGTGGCACCCTGAGCTGTACATATCCTGTTCTCCTGTAGAGTTTCATAGTAAACAGGCAATTCATCCACTGAAACAATGCCTGAAAGTCCCGTTCTGGTGAGCAGAGTAATTGGAGGGTGACATGGCCTGCAAATATTCTCCTCACTATTAACTCTCTTTCTTTACCTTTTCCAGGGAAGAAAACAGTCATGTTAACCAGCCTAGTTGCCTGCCTCCATCTGCTTTCATCTTACTAGACAGAAAATGCAGAATTTTGTTTGAAATGCATAGGTTCATGGAAACCAAATGCAGCAGATGATAAAGCAGAATGGATGAAATATATAACATTTTTAATGTTAAATAAAGCCAGAAATGTGTACTGTCAGCTGCAGTTCACTCCTGGTAAAAGAAAAGACCAAGAGTCCTTTCCAAGCATGATGCTGGAGTCAGCAGGCTGTGAGTCCCTTCTAAGCTCATGTGCTGCCTGTGGCATTATCACTTAGGGCTTTATTTGTTTTGCCTAGAATTCAGTAAGTCATTCCAAGCAGGGCTATCTGCCAGTCAGTGAAAGCTTTCTCAATGACAACATATTAAAATATTTTAATTACTATTTATTATTTTATTATTATTTTAAATCTGTAGTTTATTTAGGCAATATAACACATGCACTCTCCCACCTTTGGCATGAAAGGGTGGACATTTGACTAACTGTCTATGCAGTTCAAGCTTACTGATATCAGATTATATTTAAAGTGTTTTTTTTATACAAATACACACTGTACGATTATATCCTGTGTAACCAAATGCTGTGAATATTCAGCTAAGCAAGTTTATACTAATACTCTCCTGAATATGCATCACATTTAGTACATGCACCAGTAACCTTAATGCTCCTTCACAGAACATCAGAACTCATAATAAATGTGATGTAGGCACTAATATTATCTCTATGTATCTATAGCATAAGTGATGTTTTAAATGAACTATTTAAATGAAGTGAGCTAAATTGCTCCATTTTTTTCTCTTTGTTTTTGTCTGTTATACCATTTAGCAAGGTCAAGCAAATGGCTTTGACTTAAGCCTAAGTTCAGTTGAGTACAAATAACAAGGGGGCATTTGTAGATGTTCTCCCCAGGTTAAGTAAATTAATTCTCTTTGTCCCTTTAAAATACACTAAAAGAGAGCATAGTTCAGTTTTATGGATTAGGTCTTTTAGAGATCAGTTTGTAAACAGAAAATTTTTATCTGCGCTTGTCAGGATGCAAATGCTTCCCCAGATATCTAACTTTGTTCTTCTGGCTGGCAGGTAAAATATTCTTTGAAAAGTAAATGAAAATACCATGTAAGTCCCTTTCTGAAGTTAAATGTGGAAAATGAAAAGAAAAATTACATTTAAATATTGCCAGTGCTGTTCATATATTCCAGTTTTGACAGTGATAAATTAAATAATTCTATCCAATATTTTTCAGCCATTAGGAATAAAAATCTCAATCCTTTAAAATTAAGTGAAAAGCACATGCTGAATGAGAACAAAATAAATGCCCTTGTGAGGTAGGAGCTGTGACAATAGATGCCTTTGAAATCAGTACAAAAAGGTATTGAAAGATGAAGAGAGATTAATTGCTGCCTGATGCTACACAGTCGCAACCTGTCTGCATAAAATGGCTGCAGAGACAGCTCGAGCAGAGGACTGGGAGCAGGAATCCTGGTGCCAGGAATCCTGTGCTCCCCTGCTGCCACAGATCCTCTACATGGCTTTAAGGAAACCAGTTATGTAGTTTCTACCAGCAGTAAAATACAACTTAGTATTTTACAAAGATGATTCACTATTGTATTAAGCCATGAAGAGGTAAAATGCTCTGTGTGTTCAAACAGTGTTGATTTGGTTTGTTGGTGGTTTTTTTGGTTTTTTTTTTTTTTTACTGAAGTGTATAGCCTTGAGGTTTTCATTTCAGGAAATTACCTGCTCTCTTCTGGGGCTAAGCCAAATAGTGGGGAGAAGCAGAGAAGCCATTCCTTCCCATAATTACATGAGGGTCAGAAACATGAGATGTGGGGCTGGGATTGCCTGGCTTGGGGATGAGGACATGCTGCTGGAACATAAAGCCACTTTTGGAGATGAGTGGTTTAAATAGATTATAGCTTTGGCAGGGACTGGAGCACTCCTTTACACATTCTCCTCAGTGCTAAGGAATAGTGTGATGGTTTTGGTGTGTGTTTTCTGAAGGGAAGCACAAAATAACATCATCCAGGCCCTCAGAAACCTCTCAGTAACTTGCACAGGCAGCATTCTAGCTGAGCATCACCTCAGAATTGCCCTGCACTGCTGTGCTTGCAATGTACTGGCTTTTGCTTAGTAGATCCCCCCTGCATCCTTGAATAGTAGATACAAATATTAACTTTGTAGTCTGTAGGTCATTTACCAGTTCTAGATCAGACTTCTGGGAGCTGAAGGGAGCTTAAAATCACTCCCAGCCCAGTAGTGTTTGTGCCAGTTCTCAGCCGTGCCAAAGGCACAGAGCAGCAGCCAGATTCACAGAACATATAGAAATGCTGCTATTTGATCTTTAAAACCTGGTCCAAGAGGAACCTTGGAAGACAGAGTCATACACCAGTTCTTTCTAGCCAGTTCACACAGCTGGAGTTAGAAACTATTTTCCCCACGTTTGTCTGGGTCAGAAAAATAACATGCTTCAGCTAAGAATACCCAGGTTGGCAGTTGGGAAACATTGCTCTCTGACCCTTGCTATCTGAACAGTCTTTTCTGAAACCAGTGAAACAATATCCTTATTCACATGGCCTGTCCTGAATAATCAGTGCTGATACCTGGCCTGTATCGGCTCGAAACTGTATTCCCTGGGTTCACAGCAGGGGACTGGCCACAGATAGGTCCTTTGTGTTTCTGCTACACCTGTTCAGTAAAAACCACTTTTCTTTTTCTTTTTTTTTTCAGTGCAGGTAGGTACAGCCATCAGCTGCACTAATGCCAGCCACATTGTCACACTTACACTCCAGGAAGCACTGGAATCATCATGGTCCTAACACCTAACAACTTTCTTACACCTTCCCGTCTATGCAGCCTGTAGGCAAAGCATAAATTTATATACATACCCAGAAATCCTCTCCAAGCAGTGACAAAGTCCTCACTGACAAATACTGTCTGTCAGAGGTGAAAAGTAGAGATTTCAGTGTTACCTAGATTCATGCTTATGTCCCCCAGCTTAGCAATGCAAGTGAAGTGAAATCAAGACTTGGGCTTGAAGAAGCTGTAGACAGCATTTCATTCTTTCTTCTTTCATTTGCTCATGAATCTGTTCATCATTCAGCAGAATTTGAGCAGACATATTAATTTAATTTAGCATGTAATTTAAATTCTCAGCTTACTTGAGAAATTAGAATTCATCAGGGAATCAGAATTCTCAGCCTCAGAAAAAATTTAGCTGATTGTGAGGGACAGAGAGAGAAATACATCCCAAAATCTCATCTCATCAACCTTGAAAATGAAAAAATACAGTTCTGTCACAGTAGATTAATTTGTCTTTCCACTTCAGCAAATCCCATGGGTCCACACTCCATTGTTCTCACAGCAGGAAGCTACATCTTCTCCTGGTCAGGCAGGTTCACAAGCAGGGGAGTTACTGAGGTCCAGGCAGCTGCTCTCAGCAAAGAGACTGAAGCAGTCAGCATCTGCTTTTTCCACCCCACAGTGCAAAGGAGGCAAATCAGCC